GAGGAGGAGGAGGAAGAGGAGGTGTAACCCCTTTGAACAACTATTTATTAAATAAAAAGTTTAAAGAAGCTTGCAAACTTTGAGAGCAGGGTGTCAAGGCTGGCTATACCTCAATCCTCCCTCTCCCTGCCTTCCAAGTAGGTAGTAGCCACTGGCTCCTAGCTCATTTCAGCTTTGGAGCTGACACCCTACTCTTCCCTGGCATCACCCAGAGAATGTCTAATCATGAAGCAGTATCAGGGTTTGCTCATTTCTTCACACAAAAGACTAGATTTGTCTAGGGCTTCCCCCCTGGCCAGACTCGAAGAAGGTTCTTCCTCTCAGCCCTGCTTCCTTCCCTCCCTCTCCTCTCACGGGTTTCATTGGGTTTAGCACCATGGTCTGAAGGCTTGCCCTCCTTGATCCTTCCTTACCCTTGAATCTCTTCAAGGTATAAACCTCTCTCTGCTAAGTTTCAACACTCCTCATTCCATCTCATACTCTACCTCCTGGAAGACCTAACTGGAAAAATTTGATCTCACCTTCAGCTTTTCTGACTCAGCAGACAGAGTGGATCTGAGGAATCTATATCACTTGTTTTATTCTTCCATGTGATTCTAATGTTCAGCTGTGTTTCCTCTACAGAGTGAACAGTTCTCATGCAATTATTTCTGATACAATAATAGTTAAGGTTATAAGCTTTCTTGAATTCTTTGGCATTTTCTATGCTTACTTTGGAATTATCAAGTTAAAACAAAATGCAGTTTTGTTATCTTTTATTTTTCAATCAAATATGGGCAGATCACCTTGGAGCTAACTTATGAGCCTCAGACCAATCAGAGAGGAATAAGGAATCAATAAAATTCCAAGAACAGGGTTATGATTTTTACTCCTTTTACTGCTTGGCAATATTTACATGCAGAAACTTAATGGATTGAGCTTTTTCTTGGCCAAGTCAAAATTGTTTGGTCAAAATACCATATTCCAAGTATCATATTAGTTGTATACCTGAAATAGAATAATAAGCCTATAATATCTATAATATTTGGAGGAGAAAATATATTAAAATGAACTGTCTTATGTGTCTCAAAAGACACATCTGAAAATGAAAAGATTTTGTGTTAATTTTTATCATAAGGTAAGAACTTATGTCAGGCCTAGTAGTACTGGGAAACTGAAGCAGGAAGATTGTGATGTTGAGGCCAATTTAGGGCACATAGTTAATTTGAGGTCAGTCTGAGCTACTTAGTAAGACTCTGTTTCAAAAGCCAAAACAAATTAAACCCTTTTATTTTTCTTCCTATGGAACAGAAAGTTTTATTTTTCATATGTTCTGATATCAAAAAACTATCAATATTGATATTTATATTTTAGAGTAGAAGTTTATATCCTTCCATGTGCACTTTCTAGCATGTAGATACTTCACGACAGCTACATGCTAAGTGATACAGAATCTGGCATCTCCACAGTGCATGCTAAGCTATCTATGTAGACCACAGATAGTTACCCTATGATAAATACATTAGAACAGTATGTGCACCATAAAAATACACAATTCCAATTTATAACATCTTCACACATGCATTCTCTCTTGTAAACATGAAAAATGTGACAAAAATCATAAATCCAGTTTTATTAAATAATATAGTTATTATAATCATCATATATCTTATTAAGCCAACTTGTTAATGAGAAAAGGAAAAATGGAAACTAAGAAAAAGAGATCTTGTAGATACAAAAATAAGAATACATGAAAAGGCACATTCCAACACTGTTGGAGGAATGGAAATTGATACAATTTGACATATCTATCAATAATGCATACCAACTGACCTCACAATTCCACTCAAGGAAATTATCCTAAAGATGTACACCATCACAGTAAGCTGTGCCCACAAGAAACATTCTACACGGCATTATTTAGACCACAAACAACACTTAAAATGATCTAAATGTCTATTACAAAGACTGTGATTAACTATACTGTAATTGTACAATGAAATTTATGGAGCCATTAAGAGAGAATGAGATAGTTTTGCTTGTGCTGAAAAAGTTTCCAAGATACAAAAGCATTTCCAAGACTCACATTATTAGTTTTTCAAGAGTACAAAACAGCATTACAATATGTTCCTATTTGTGACGACAGATTTTTGTGTGTGTACATATATATCCATATATATGTAAACACAAACACAAAAACACATATGTAAACAGATACAAATGTATACATATATTATAGGCATATAGATGTGTCATATATATAGAAGAAATTTCTGGAAGAACACATAGGAAACTGTTAATGGTTGTTTTGTCTGAAGTCACTCCGGAGGAAACTCAGTTTCCATTCTATGCTCTGTTGCACAATTTGAGTATTTTAAACACTCCAATTCACTTTCAGAGAGCTGAGGAATTCTTGCAATGTTTGCGGTGTCATAGAGTGTGTTGCTCTTCTCTGTGTAACTCGCATAGGGTTGCATTTCATCCTAAGAGAGAACTCCAAGTCAGTTCACAAAAGCTAGAAAGCATTACTGGAAAGGCGCGTGATTTCCTAACAGGTGCCCTACTGTATCTACCAATACCACATATATTTCTGTCTCTGGCCCTAAGTAAACATAGGAGCAAAGCCTTATTCTAATGTAATTAGACAAAATATTTTCATTCTGTGTATGAAAGTACAGAGATGAATGATGTGAGAATCAAAGGCTTAGCAAACTACTAGTTATAAGAGATTAAAGAGCAGGCTAGATTTTCAGTTTAGAAAGAGGGAAATGGCAATGGTACTGAAAAAGAGAAGTCATGAATTTGTTGAGCATGTGGCTCATTCCTATAATCCCAGCTACTCAGGGAGAGTAAAAGTGACTTTATTTGAAAAGAAAAACTAAACAGAAAGTCCTGGAGGTGTGGTAGAGTGTTTGTCTTGCAAATGCAAGGCTCTGAGTTCAAATTCCAATACCTCACAAAAAGAAAATAACTGGGTATGGTTTTAACAGAGAAAGAGTTACTTGATTTCTTAAAGGATAACAGTCCAAATGAGACAAATATGTGATTAGGATGCACTTAATGAGTTAAAAATCTGAGGTTCAGTAGGAAATATTAGCACTAAATAAGCAAATATACATGCACAAATGATGACTAGCATAGTAAAAATCAGAAGTTTTTGGATTTTTTAAAACCAAAATACTAATATTGAGGGAATTTACAGTGTGTGGCTAGATTTCAGATCATATGGATTTAAAAATTGAAAATGGGCTGGGAATGTGGCTTAGTGGTAGAGTGCTTGTCTAGCATACATAAAGCCCTGGTTCAATTCTTCAGTACCACATAAACAGAAAAGGCCAGAACTTGTGCTGTAGCTTAAGTGGTACAGTGCTAGCCTTGAGCAAAAAGAGTTCAGGACAGTGCTCAGGCTCTGAGTTCAAGCCCCAGGACTAGCAAAAACAAAACAAAACAAAGAATTGAAAATGTTGTTTTTTCATCTTACCTCCTCTACAACAGGAATAGAGTCTGGCTTTTTTGATTTACATTTTCTAAAGGAAAAGAAAAGAAATTATTTTGAATAATGCAGGAAAAATCGTTACTTAGATTTGAAAAAGAAAAATAAACACACTTTTGAATATTGTGGGTCATTTTGATAGAAATAATAAATCAGAAATGAGTTGAAGAATATTACTTGTTATTAATGTACCCAAATAAGAATATTTTGGAAAAAGAAGTACAATTATGAAATGGGAAGTTGGTACAATAGAATATATACAACCTCTCTCGGGTATATAAATGGAATTATTGTAATTATTTTCTCCTAAAAAAAACATTAGGTGTCAGTGGTTCACATCAATAATTGTAGCTATTTAGGAGGTTGAGATCTGAGGATCACATTTCAAAGCCAGCATGGGCAGGAAAGTCCATGTGATTCTTATTTCCAATTAACCACCAAAAAAGCTGGAAGTAGAGCTATGGTAGAGCACTAGCTTTGACAAAGTCTCGGGACATACCCTGAATTCAAGACACACACACACACACACACACACACACACACACACTTAGCCTGCACTATCTTCCCCCCATGCTCAAAAATCTACCACCTTCAAAATGCTCCGTGGAATTATGAAAGAATTACTCTTACACGCTAATTTACCCAGTCCACCAGCTGCATATTTTTGACTCTTTTCTGGTCCAATGAAACTGAAGAAGAAAACACATTCATCAGTCAATACCTGAAGCTGCTGCTTTTCAAGAAACAAATGAATCCCAGGATGATCAAAAGAATAATAGAGGAAATGATGTATTTAGCATATGATTTTCCTGTTTGGGCACCTGTAATGATAGATTCAAAACACAGATGGTTGAAATGTGCTAAGTCCAAACAATAGGGTATTATTCAGTGCTAAAAAGAAATGAGCCCCTGAGTTCAAGCTCCACGACCAACCGAGAGAGAGAGAGAGAGAGAGAGAGAGAGAGAGAGAGAGTGCTATCAAGCCATGAAAAGACATGGAAGAACCTGAATTACATATTACTAAGTGAAAGAAGTCAATATGAAAAGACTCTGCACTGCATGATTCTAACTATAAGTTATTTCAGAAAGGCAAAACCAGGGAAACAGCAAAAAAAAATTAGTGATTTTTCAGGCAAAAGAAGGAGGGATAAAACTTGGAACACAGAAATATTTTAACAGCAGTGAGAGTATCCTGTAGGATACCATTTTGGTTCATACATGGCCCTGTAGATGTTTTTTGTTTTTGTATCTGATTTTGATGTGAGCCTGAAATATAAAATTATTTAAAAATTAGAAATATTTGGCTCAAGAATGTCTCTCAGCAGATAAATTGATTTCTGTGATTTTTGTTTTAAACACTTTTCAACTCATTCATTGCTCAAAGAGTTATTATAACAAAATTGCTCTATCAATTCAGTCTCTAGAGTCTCCAGCAAAATACTGTGATGGCTGAACATTCATGAATGGTGCATTTCTAGAGGAGAGAAGGGAAATTTCAATTTTACTGTTACAGTGAGAGTACACTCGTTTTTGTTGCCAATTGTAGAAATGAATGGGTTATCATAAGAAGGTAGTTGGGAAAAAAATAATCCTAATGCTGAAGTCATCTTTCTGTCAAGTCACTGACATTAAAACAAATACTGGCCCCAGTCCAGAGCTCAGCAAGGACATACCTTCAAGAAACAGGCAGTTTTGCTGTTAAAATAAAACAACAGAAACAATATTGTAAAACTCTTTCAAGCCAATGAACTACCTCTTATTTGATATGTGGGAGAGATCTCTGTACCACATGAGTCTGGACTATATGATCCCTTCAACTCTGACATTTGATAAATATAGCATTTTATTGTAATACTAGATGGTAACATTTCATACATAACAAAACTACAAGTATCCGAAGTACTGTTGGACTCTTAAAAAAAAAACAGCAGGAGTGAATATTGGGAAATGATGGTTGAACTGCATCATTTTTCTCTTCTTATTTCGCAAAACTTGCCAAAATATTTATAAGAAATTTTTGAATTGTAAATGTGCACAGACAAAGAGAACAGAGATGCAGACAAGAAGAGATAAAAATTTTCAATCTGCTTCTTCAATATGAATAGAAGAATGACAAATAATTTACAGAGGAATAAGTAGAAACCTTGGTTGCCCTCACTACTTCAGAAAGAGTAGGAAGCTATGAAATATTTCAAGAAAGCTGAAAGAAAGAATTTTAAACATTCCTACCATGAAAGAAAAGTTAAATAATTGAGGTGATGAATGTGCTATTTGTCTTGAATAATCACTTCACAATGGATAAATATATTAAAAATATCACTATATACCCATTTATATAATTGTTATTTGACTATTAAAAGTAAAACTAAACTTAAGATGAGATAAACTGAAAAAAGCAATAGAAAAACAGGCTGTATGGGGAGGGGCCTGTAGAGCTAAACACTGGGAGCTTCCTTGAAAATTTGTATTAGAACAGATGGGCTGCCAACTCCTCTGTGCTGTACTCTTCCCCAATCAGAAGCAAAAGAATCTCAAAAAGATGACTCAGGGAGACTTCAGAGTCCAGGATCCAGGCATCACTGGGAATAGAGATGAAGTGCTAGACTGATAAGCTATATCTAAAGAAGTCAGCGCTCCAAACAGTGTAATGGATCCACACACACTTCAATTTCTGTTCCTACAATACTAACAGTCATACTTAAGCCTGCAAGGCAAGAGATTGAATGGTCCCAGGAAAAATATATTCATATATATATATATATATATATATATATATATATATATATATATATATATATATGGAAGCTCTAAAAATTATCTTCATCTATTTCCCTGTATTGAAGCTGACTAGTTGGTAAGGCTCACCAGGGGAGTAAAGAGTTTCTAATCTAATTGGTAGTGTGATTTGTGTGTGTGTGTGTGTGTGTGTGTGTGTGTGTGTGTGTGTGTGTGTGTGTGGTGGGGTTTGACCTCAGGGGCTGCAGTCCCCAAGCTCTTTTGCTCAAGGCAAGTACTCTAGGCAAGTACTCTACCACTTTGAGCCACAGTTCCCCTTCCAGTTTTTGAGTGGTTAATTGGAGATAAGAGTCCCACATGGACTTTTATGCCCCAGCTGGCTTATAATGGTGGTCCTCAGATCTCAGCCTCCTGAGTAGCTAGGATAACAGGCATGAGCCACCAGTGTCCAGTTGGCACTGTGCATTTTGAAATAAATCAATAGCCAAGGATTGCCAGAGTTAAGAGAAGACTCACATATAAAAGAAGGAGAGTAAAACAGGCAAGTGTCTAGAAGACTGAACTCAGATTAAGTAGACATGGATCAAGTAGAGGATGGAGAGAAAGTGGACAAACTAATATCTATGCAGCAGTTCACATGACCAACCAAGACTGATAAGTCCAAAAGCATAGAAAGGCTTAAAAAAATAATTGAACTGAAGAAAAATCTAACAAGGTAGCAGACTACCTAATAAGTCTGACAACAAGAATAGTATTACTATAAGTTCTCTAAATTTGGTGTGTGAAGTTTGAGATAATTCATTACAACTACATTCAACATTAAGTAACCAAAAAAAGCAAAGCAATTATGAAGTTCAAAAAAAATCCAAAAATTAAAAATAAACACATGGGAGAGGGGAAGGTGGCTCAGTGGTAGAGTGCTTGCCTTGTGAGCATGAGGCCCTGGGTTCGATTCCTCAGCACCACATAAGCAGTAAAAGAGGGAAGTGGCACTGTGGCTCAAGTGATAGAGCACTAGCCTTGAGCTGAAGAGCTGAGGGACAGCGCCCAGGCCCAGAGTTCAGGCCCCATGACTAAATAAATAAATAAAAGCATGGTTGGTTTTTTCAGTATTTAATGTTTTCATATTCAAATTAATGTAAACGGTGATTATTTAATGAAATATGCTATAACTGATAGGAAGGAAGTGTGACAGGAATAAAGTAATGTTAAATATTCATTGAGCACAAGAGAAAGTAGATATGTAATATATTTTTTGATACAGTAAGATAGAACACAACAAACATGTGTTTCAGAAAAGTGCAATTCAGGACTCCTCTTCAGTCTTCTCTCCAGATGGAGAATTTTTACTACTTTCTTTTATGGCTTTTCTTTCATTTTCAAATAAATGTTCTTTACTTGAGATGTAGGAAAGAAAGAAAGAAAGAAAGAAAGAAAGAAAGAAAGAAAGAAAGAAAGAAAGAAAGAAAGAAAGAAAGAAAGAAAGAAAGAAAGGAAGGAAGGAAGGAAGGAAGGAAGGAAGGAAGGGAGAAAACTATAAAAACTACAAAAACTACTAAAAGATTTGAAAGTATGTATCTCAAGGGTAAAATGAAGACAACAGGTATGTTTTAGAAAGGCAAGAATAGAGATGAAATTTGACTTTATGTTGGTTAGGTTGATTGAAATTAATACTTGGAATTTTATTTTATTTTTTTGGGTCCGGTCGTGGGGCCTGAACTCTGGGCCTGGGTGCTGTCCCTCAGCTCTTGGGGTCAGATTAAAGCAGATAATGCAGAATTTAAATCACAGATATTATTATTATGAGACATTTAAGAAACTTCACCAGGAAAAATCTAGAGGAGAAAACTTTACTAGACTAAAACTCCATGAAGGTAAATTATAGGTGGCTTTGTTTTTCTAACAAAATCATATGTACCTATTTTAACTAAATTTCATTCTACAACTACAATCAGTAATAGCCAAACACAGGGAACTCACTCCTATAATCCTATGTAAGAAGTGAAGATCTAAGGATTAAGTATTGAAGCTAGCCTATGCAGACAAATCAAGCACAGTCTTATTTTTAATTAACCAGCAAAAAGCTGAAACCAGAGGTGTGGTTCAATTAATAGAGTCAACCCTAATCGAAAAAGCAAACTAAGAGCATGAACTCCTCAGTTCAAGTCCCAGTACTAGCAGAGAGGGTAGGGAAGAGAGGGAATGAGAGAAGAAAGAGATGGAGAGGGAAGAAAGAGGGAAAGGAAGGAAGGAGGGAAGAAGGGAAAGAGGGAAGGAAGAAGGAAGAAAGGGAGTTCTTTCAAAAATAGAATACTGCTAATATAGGAAGGAAATTGCTATTATTAACAAATTTCTGTAATATTTTCCTAGACATGTCTTTGTATTTTGAGAAGGAAAAAGGTAAAATAGGAACTGAAGAGTCCCTGTGTGAAAATTGTCTGCCACTATACTCTTTTTGTCCTTTTAAACATAGTTTCTCCAATACAATGAAAAAAAATCAAACCAAAAACTAGAATTACCAACCAGAAGGCAGCTCTATGGACAGACTCCTGTTGCCAGTCGAATGGGAGACCAAGCAGGTCACAACAGTTACATTACTATTTGAACAGTGACATGTACTCTTGACTGTTCCTGTGTCATTGCTGGGCGATTCTGTCTCAGTGACACAACCCCACTCTGGGAACCAGGAGATCTGGGCAGCTGGCTTGCCTGCGACTGCCTTACACACCGCAGTTCTATTCTTGTCTAGAGACAGGCTCACTTCAGGGGGCACTGCAGAGATGGAAGAAGGAGAATGCTTTAGTCTTCTCACTCTGAGGAGGAATTTGCTTTCATCCCAAATCTGATGATCTGGAATATCATGGCATATGACATTCTTTACCTAGCACTTGGAGGTTATAACCATGATAGTAATTCCCATTAGGTTCTGCTATTTCACACTTGTAATACCCCTCATGAATGAGAGCCACCACATCAATCTGAAGATCCGGTCTCTGGTCAGGCTTGAAGTTCCAGGTTATTTGCTCATCCGTACAGTTATTTTTCACAGTCTCATTTGTGGATCTCAGGTAGGCAATTTTGCAGGGAACCTTGTTTGTGTGGATTATTTCCCATGTTGTTACAATCACTTCTTCCCAGTGTTGAAGAGGGCAACAGAGGACAGCCTGCTCACCCACCAATACCATCTTTGTTGTGTTAGCTGGACATACACAAAAGCAAAACCAGGAAGAGAAAAGCTTAATAAGGAACCTTGTGTGCCCAGTTTACACAAAGCAGATTACATAAAACTGTGCTAGAAATCTGCTTTGCATTCTAGAAATATGAGATTCACATAAGAAATTAACACTCATCAAATATATATAATGGATCAAATTAAATACAAGTACAAATCAAATTTAATCTGTATTATATATTACTAATGAATCAACACATAGTCTCAAGTATATGGAAATTAAGAAAAGACTTGATAGCTAGAAGCAGATGAAACTATACAATCTATACATAGGCTTTTGATTATGGATAATACTAGATTTATTAAATTTATCATGTACTTGTGATCCTCAGAAAATAGAGAAATCATTCATGTGGAATTCACCTCCTAAGTTTTGATGAGTGCAAAAAAAAAAATCAGGGAAGTGGCACTGTGGCTCAAGCAGTAGAGCGCTCGCCTTGAGCTGAAGAGTGCAAGGACAGCACCCAAGCCCAGCAGAGTTCAAGCCCCATGACCAACAAAAAAAAAATCAGGCACAGAATAATTAAATGCCTTTCACTAAGGGTAATATTTCAAAAAATTATAAATCTAAATTATAAATGTAAAAAGTATATGGCATATGAAACATTCATTAAAAGTAACTAATATTTAGGCTTAAGGAGACAAGAGTCCTTAATTGTACTTTTTAATAGAATAACAAAAGTCAGTGAAATTCACAGAGCTAAAAATATAACCTATAATTTCACCAGCTAATGATTTCAGGAAGATGAATTTGAGATGTCTTAGAAATATTTGTTTCTGGTGAAAAATAGATAGAAATATTTATTTCTGTTTCACATCTATATTTATATATGAAGGAGGAAACTTCTTCCTTTTGGAAGTTTTATATATAAAGGATTTTATTTCAAAAGAGTGTTATCAAATATGCAACTGATCTGTAATGTGATCCTATATTTTATTTCTGTATGTTCAATCAAATTATTAGAATTAAGTATGAAAGTTACCCTTGTGTCCATGCTCTAAGGTAAAAATTACACTGTTGACATACAAGCAGCATCCACCATAAAATTTCACATTTCTGCTACACTGACTGAAGGTATCCATTACTGATAAGGATTTCTGAGAGATGATTACTCAACTGCAGCATCTGTTTCAATTTACCTGTGATGCATGTCCATGACTTTTACATGAGCAGAACTATGGTAAAGAAAATGTTTTATATGATTGAGCTTTGTTCTTGCTAACTTCTACATTTAATATCTTTCCTTTTCAGTTTTAGTGTCAATTGTCTCTTATAGTTATTTATCATATCTCATGGTGAAATAAAGATCACTTACCTAGATGAAAAAAGGTAAGATTTAATCACAGACTTGAGAACATCTATGCTCTTTTCTTTCCACCATTCCAAGTTATCAAAGGTTTAGAGAAAAGCAAGAACAGCCTTGTTTGAGAATCAGCCAGAGAGTAAGTCATTCGAAGTCCCCATACTACAATATTCAGGTCACCTGACTCTTCAACTAAGTTACAAGGATGGCCTAAATCAAATCATGAGCTACTGCTTTTTACCAAGGTCAACTCCATCACATCACACAGTGCTGCATGCTAGATAAGAAAACATATTACCTGCTGCAAGAGGCAATGAATTGTTCTGTGTCATCTTCCTTTCATGTGGACATGGGCTAGTTGAATCTAGAAAATATTTAGAAAAGAGAAAATAAAATCACTGTTGTCTATTCAAATAGAATAGAAGTCACTGTACCCCAACAGTTTCATTCAATATATCAGGAAACCAGTAGCCTTTAAATGAAGTATGCTAATAATTTGAAGCTTACATTCATACTGCATTAATGGTTGAAGATTCATGAAGCACTTTCTTTTTTCAACTATTTTGCACAAAGTTTCACTAACCCCCTTCCCAGCCAGAGAGATTGGTTTGAAAGCCACCATCCCAGAAGACCCCATGGAGACAGTGATGTACAGCAAAGGAATTTACTGTCAGCAGCGGCTGACAAGGCCACCTTTCTCACAGGAGAGAGTGGAAAGGTGTCTGTCCTTTGTTTAGGGTCAAATATATAGTCAGGGGGCTAGGGGTGGGAAGTATGGGAAGCTAAACACTAAAGATGGCTCATAGCAAGGGTAGGGTTTTCTGATTGTAACAGTTACAGTTAGGCAACATTCTACTGATGCAGCTGAAGGCCAGATATGCTAACAGTTTCAGTATGAGCATTGCACATGAGCTGGCCTATGCAAACTCTTTTCTTGGTCCTCTGATGAACCCATCACTCCTATGTCAAGACGAAGCGTTTTCATGTGAATTCTAAAATCAGAACAAAGAAGGGTTCATCCATGCCCCTTCCTTCCTCATTGCTTACCTTGTAAACAGGGAGAAACGATGGGACATAAAGCAGAAACAGAGGGAAAAAAATCTTCATCTACTTTAACTTTCTAGGTCAAAAGTTCCTGAACCCTACATATGAGCTTAACTTCAAACTTGGCTTTGAAGAAATTCTAAAATAAAGGATTTTTTAGATCAATAGAGGAGAGAAAAAGAAAAGAATCAAGATTATTTTTGTGGGAACAGAAGGGAAACACCACAGCTCTCTCCAACCAAATAGAGCGTTCCCGTTTCAACACTCCGTTGCTCCAAGAGACCAACAACAACAAAAAGGCGATTACTCAGAGAGATGCAAGAAGTGAACAAAAGAAAAAGGGAAAACTTCAGAACCTACACCAAGAGGGTAAAGCGGGAAGAGCCTTCCCCACCCCTTGCTGGTGGCAGGGCTCCATGCCAAGCAGTTGAAGCAGCGGGGCCTGGAGCAGAGCCGCTCAAGCGGCCCGGCTCTGGACCTATCAAGGACCACAGAACCACAAGCATCCTAAGGCTCCCAGAAGATGACCAAGAGCCAGTGCCGACCCAGAGAATACAAACAGAAAAACTCAGAACACAGAACCCACACGAAGACCTCCCCCCCCACACACACACCCTCCCCAGCAGGACGCCTCTGCCTGGCCAGCATAATAAGCAGCCCAACCCAGCCAGGAGCAGCAGTGGGGAACGACCCTAGACTCGGAACCACCAGCCCAGCCCTGGGCCGTGGCAGCCACGGTAGTGGCAGTAAACAACCCCAAACTCATTGGATGGTGTGGCCATCTTCCCATCAGCCTGTGTAAGCAACCCAGCCCAGCCTGGGACAGCAGTGGTGGCTGCACCAGCAGCAGCAGTAGCAGTAGCGAAACACCCCAGACTCACGGCACGACCCTGCACCAGCCCATGGAATCAGTCCAGCCTGGAGCTGGCGGGAGCTGTGAGGAATCCCAGACCCACGGTGCGGACCCCAACAGCATACACAGTGGCAAAGGCTGTGAAACACAGACCCAGCCTGCATCACCACCCAGCATAGCCCACATCATCTCAGCAAACGTGGAACACGGTGGTGATCAGCAACCTACAGTGCACAAAACCAGCCACCTGCCACAGCACCGCTGGACAGCTCCCAACCACTACCAGGATAACTAAGTACACCAAAGGAGATGTTCCCCTACATTACCCCGACTGCCACAGGAGAACAGCACTAGTGGTAACCCACCCCCAGAAATTGGCCCACCATTACCACCTGGGCTACAGGTCCTAAGGAACCTTGGAGCTATGCAAGTGCACCAGCAACCAGCAGGCACACCTGGCACAGCCAGCCTGCCAGGCTTGGCCAAGAGCACTCTTAGGAGGGAATGGAAGAAGTCTAGGCTGCTGGTCCTTGACTAAAGGTGGGAACTGCCACCAGTTAAAGGAACCCTTCCTGTGTCCCAGGCAAGAACCCTAGCTATCTTAACTGCCTGCTCCTAACTGGTCAGGACCTGAGTGCACACCCCAGCAGAGGGTGGAGTGTGTCTGCCCACCACAATCTGACAAGAGTAAGCCCTTCGTGGGCCAGGCCAGCAGCTAGAAAGCAGCCCCATCCAATACAGAACCTCACACCAGGTAAAGTACCCTCAACCATCCCAGCACTGAGAGCAAGCTACATCAATTGCTCAGGAAAAAAATCCAGAACCAAGCAAAGGTAGCCACCTAGTGGCTGGAATTGGTCTCCAACAATCCCTGAATCCACATGCGAAAATCACAGCGAAAAATTACAAGATTCATCAATGGCCAAGATAGTAAACCAGACTCAAAGGCCAGCAACCACACAGGGGAGAATGCCAGTGAAAGCAAGAAAGAAATGGAAGACAAATGCTATATCCAAGAAATGATAGAGGCAATGACTCAAGGATTAAAATGAGAAATAGACCAGAAATTTAAAGAACAAACCAATGAGTTATCAAAAGAGATCGAGGCCTTCAAACAAGAAATGCACTCAAAAATAGCTGCAGTACACATCTCACTAAAAGATGAGATTATTACTCTTAAGAAATGACATAGAAACTATAAATGGTTCAATTGCTTCCATGCAACCCACAATGGAAGCCACAGTTAATAGAGTGAATGAAAGGGAAAATAGAAAATCATATACTGAAGACACTACGCAGGTACTGGAAAAAAACGTTACAGATCTGGGAAAAATACCCCAAAAATGCCAAAGGGAAGTCCAAGCACAAGCACACTGTGCCAAGAAATTTAACCTTCGTATAATTGGGATGGACGAAGGGGAGGAATACCAGAATAAAGGAATACAACGCTTATTCATTAAGATCATCTCTGAAAACTTCCCCAGTCTTAAAAGAGAAAATCTTACCTACATAACAGAGGCCTACAGAACACCTAACAAGCAAGATCCCAGGAGGAACACTGCAAGGCACATTATAGTAAAAATGCTAGACTTTAGCAATAAAGAAGCAATCTTGCATGCAGCAAAAGCAAAGAAGGAGCTATACTACAATGGGAAAAAAATTAGAATCACTGCAGATCTCTCCACACAGACACTGAATAAAAGAAGCCAATAACTGCACAGACTGGTATATCCAGCGAAGCTAGAATTTCCATTTGGTGGAGAAACTAAAATTTTAAATAGTAAAGAAAAGCTAAATGAATTCATAAACAATAAGCCAGCATTACAAAGAATGTTAATAGAGAGATTACAATCTGAAGAAAGCAATCGAGAACAGGGATACATACCGGATAGACATTGTAAGGAATCCAACTTAGTAAACACAGGATGAAAAGGAAAGAAGAAAACCATAGGAAAGTAGGAAAATGGCAGGAAACACAATATAACTCTCTATAATAACCATAAATATGAATGGACTCAATTCACCAATCAAAAGAAAAAGAACTGCAGATTGGATCAGCAAACAAGATCTATCAATTTGCTGTCTTCAGGAGACCACCTCACGGCCAAAGATAAAAGCAAACTCCAAGTGAAAGGTGGATGAAGATCTACCATGCAAATGCCCCCAGAAAGAAGGCAAGAGTTGTAATTCTGATATCTGATAAAATAAACTTTACACTAAAATCATTACGAAAAGACAAAAAAGGTCACTACATATTAATACAGGGAACAACCAAGAAGAGGACATCACAATTGTCAATCTATATGCCCCAAACATCGGTGAACTCAAATATGTTAAGCAAATAAATACTCTTAGAGTTACAGGAAATGATGGATCCAAATACAATAATACTAGGAGACTTTAATACTCCACTCTCACCAAAAGAAAGGTCTACCAACCAAAGAACTGGCAAACACGTCTCCAAATTAAATGATGTCATATCTCAAGCAGACTTAACCAACATATACTGAGTTTTCCACCCAACAAAAACCCAGTACACATTCTTCTCAGAGGTCCATGGAACTTTTTCTAAAATAAATCATTTAAGCATTTAAGCATCATTGCATTTAAGCAAATGCAAGAGGATCAACATAATACACTGTGTTCTATCTGACCATGAAATCAAACTAGTTCTCAATAACAAGGCATACAGTAGAAAAAACTCAAAACACATGGAAATTAAACAGCACTCTGCTGAACAACACATGGGTCACAGAAGAAATTAAGAAGAAATTTAAAAGTTCCTACAATTCAATGAAAATGAAGATACATCACAAAGAAACCTGTGGGGCATAGCGAAAGCAGTCCTGAGGGGCAAATTTATTGCGCTCAGTGCTCACATCAAAAAAACAGAGACAGACCAAATAAACAATCTCATGATGCAACTAAAACTGCTAGAGACACAAGAAAAAGTTGAACCTAAAGTCGTTAGACAGAGCAAGATAACAAAAATAAGCTGAAATTAACAAAATAGAGACTAAGAAAACTGTAAATAAATAATACAATAAATAATAAAACAAAAAGCTAATTTTTTGAAAAACAATAAAATCGATGGACCATTACCAAGATTAACTAAAAAAAAGAAGAGAGGAGAACCATCAATAAGATCAATGATGCCACAGGAAAAATTACAACAAACATCCAAGACGTCCAACAATCATTAAGAAATATTTCCAGACTCTATACTCACATAGGAAGGAAAACCTAGCAGAAATGGATGAATTTCTAGAGAAATACAAACTGCTCAAACTGAAAGAAGAATAAATAAATCAATTAAATATGCCAATAACCTACAATGAGATAGAGGAAGCAATCAGAAACCTTCCATCAAGGAAAAGCCCAGGACCAGATGGATTCACTACAGAATTCTATAAGATCTTTAAAGAGGAACTGATATCCATACTCTTCAAGCTCTTCAGAGAAGTAGA